AGCGCAGTTTTCCGTTTTCGCTGACCGGAAGGGATGCGCCATCTTTGACGATCGAGAGCACTCAGAAGCCAACCGTCAAGCCGGAGACTCTGATATCCCGGGAGTTGAGCAGTAGCGTTAGAAGAAGACTTTTGGATCAGAAGGGGCTCTAAGCTGCGCAAGACACGGGGAAGGCCGAAAGCCCGACCCCCTCCTGCCCTTGAAGCCGCCTCGCCTGGTCTCGAGGCTATGCTTCGATTCTGCCATGTCCCGTGATCGGGCATACACTTGTCTGAGGCGGGAGCGGGTGCTGAAGGGATCTAGGCTCGTTCCAGTCTTTGCTCAGCATGCAGTTTCCGTATCACTCGCTTCTTTTGTTTCTCCTCTAGCTTTGGCTGCGTATGTATGAATAGCTTTGTAGTCTGTTCTTCGATCGTGGTGTTCTTACTGGTGGTAGTGGTGGTCGTGGTGATACTGGTGGTCGTGCTGGCGGCTGCATATCCATCGCGTTTCCAGGAGGCTGTTGGAAGGTTTTGACCATGCTGCTTTGCCAGCCTCTGCACGTTGAAAACGTAATTTCTCCCGTGTCAAAGCTACTTGTATAGCCTGCAGGATATTCCACATGTCTATGGATCAACCCGTTGCAGCCGGCTAGCGGATGCGGAAGATGGCCCCAAGCTTGGCATCGTTGTGTCAGGGAAGCGCAAGGAGGTTGACGGAGGTTGTGTGGGCAACCAACATAGCCTGTACTGCAACGTTGAGGAATTTGTCAGATGTTTAATTCGATTCTCACGGCATGGAGCCTCACACGAAGGATGCATGTCCTGGATGTTCTAGCAGCCTTGCTCCCCTTTCCATTTTCTTGCATGGCAAGCTGCTTCTAAGCTAAAGTTCTCAAGTCCAACAGACAGAGCTTGAACATGCTGGTTTAGACGATCCCGTGTGCTCTTTGCTCGAGGCCTCGATGCGGCTTTGCTGCCCTCCGATTGGGGGAAGGCATGAAGATGTCGTCGTTAGTGCTCCTGGGCACTGTGTGAACTGTGCCCAGTTCCATGAAGGCTTCTGTGCTGATGTTCCTGCCACCCCTGCACTGATGCTCATACTTGCGCTCGCGAAAGGGACGACACTCCGAAAGAAGGAAACAGAAATAGAGACGCAGAGGTAGCTAATCTAATCGGAGGGATCCTGGATGAATGTTATACATAAGCAGCCATATAGAGATGTATGCATAGAGCAGATTCATACATACTCATCACATGCACATGCACATCTGTTTCTTTGTATGCAAGCCTCGATTCGATAAAGAGAATGCTTGAGTTCCTTCGGCTCTTTATTGTCCATAGATGCGCTTCTTGCTCATTGCGTTTAATGAAGGCTGTAACAGGTTTCGGTAGATAGCCCCTTGACCATGCAAACTTAGCAGTGCAGCAGACAGCACGGATTGGGACCACAACACGTCCATCACCCAGAAACGGGAGATTGCCATGATGCATCCCTTATCGGAAGCACAGAAGCTGCCAGATCTCGTGCCCGGGGCATCTTGGCGAAGCCATTGCCTGACCTGCATGGGTGCGGAAGCAGAAGGATGCTGCGAGCATGAACGTGGCTTCAGGCATTCAGGCCCCTTTTGGAGATTGGGGTTCCATCAGTGTAATTCTAGAACGTGCCGAACTTGCCTTTGGGGTCCCTTTGCAATCAGGCGGGTGCAATGCCCAGCAAACCCTTCTGTTAAGCAAGGCTTGCAGACACTCTTGGCCGGTGCTTTAGCCTGTTCTTTAATCTTCGTGGTAGCATTTCGCCAGACCGCTCATCATGTTAACGCAGTTGCCTGTCTCACTCTCTCGGCCAAGACCGTCAAACAAGCTACTTATTTTGAGGCCGCTTTTCGCCTGAAAAACATCGCTTAAGCAGTGACTGTGGGAGATTCTGTGCCATGTTGCCCACCCGTGGCTTGTCGATCACGTCCCACAGTTTAGTTGCTGTGCTCGCGATTTCCGAACCACATGATGCTGCCGGCTTGTAGCACTTTAGCGTGGTGGCTTCGAGAATGGTGAGCTCCAGCGGCGAGAGGCCGGCCCTGGGAGGAGAGGCAGGCAGGCCAGGGCAGGTGTGTGGTGGGTGTGTTTTTTGTTTTTTGTACATGGGACTTGTGACTTCTACTAGACTATACGCGTGTGTCCCGGAATGGATCTTTCGAAGCAGTAGATCAGAAGGTTTTCATGTCTAGCTTCCCTTCAAGGCTCACACCCTCTGCGCTGGCAGCCGCCGAAGCTGCCGGGGAGCCTACTACGCAGGGTCTGGGGTCTATGGCTGCTACAGGCTCTTGAGAGGCTTGGGCTCTGCTCCAGGCAGCCGCTCTTTGCTGCAAGCAGCACCGTCCGTCTTGCAGCCACAAACCGTTTCTGTAGTCGCTGATCAGCAGCATCGACCGAAATGGAGACGAACGGCCAGGACGTCCTGCTTGCTGAAGTGACGTGTGTGATTATGTGTCATCGCGTCATAATGGCGAGCCATTCAAATCATTTTTCGGTATGAGATGAGCCGTCTCGTGTGGCCCATTTATGGGTGCCTTCAGTCAGGCAGCGGTTGCGACGCTGGCCGTGACCGTGGTGTACCTAGAAGGCTTCTCTTGGCACAGGCACCTGCTCACTGGACACACTCTTCCGAGGCATTCCCCGTCGCTGTCCGCGTTTGCTACGTGAAACTCTGAAACTATTGTCAGCATTTGAGGCAGCTTCCATCCGGAAAGACTCTGCTGCCAAGGCACGGCGACATCCGTTTGCAACGCGCTCCACTTGTAGAGATTGAGCCACTCCGAAACCTGACAAGCTCCGACTGTGCTAGGCCCTACCTAGCCTTTTGGCCATGAGCCCTGCGCCGAAGCCTCACCCCTGCTAATAGGTCGCAGCAGCGGAGGCCGAGGCTTCGCATGGAGAGCTTGGCTCGTCAGAGTCCAGGACTTTTGGCTTCAGGGCTTTCGTAAGTAGCCTGAGTCTGAGCACACAAGCCTCAGGAGCAATCACTGGTGCCATTTTCGGAACCCCTTTCTCTTGTACAGACAGATACATATGTGCAAGCGTCCTTTGGTCCAAGCGCCTGGCAAGCAAGGCGCCGCACATCCGCAGAACTCTTGGTGCTGCGACCGTGTGCATGGTTCAAGAGCGGATACATCCAACGTCGTCGACCTGAAGACACCAAAAGCTCCGGGACTTGAGTCGGTTACCGGATGCGGTGGACACTCCGACCACCAGCCGAATCCTTGACCCCTCAGAGTAAGCTACAGTTTTCCTGCAAAGGATCACAGTCGCCCCTCCAGCTTTCTACTAGCAGGCCATTGCGAACTTGGCCGACGCGGCTGCGAGGAAGCGCGAGGTCCCGAGGCCACCTCAGGCCTGGGCGGGCGTTCGGCTTAGGGCTTTCTGGGTTGAGGCGAAGTATTCCCTTTGGACAATTTGGGGCGGGGGGGGGGGTGGTTTTGCCTTGAAAGGGCGGTGTGATTTCAGCTCCAAGCTGCGCAGGGTTTGGGATAGAGAGCGCGAAGTCTCCAAAGATTTCGAGTCTCCGCTTTCCTGGGATCGAGACTGGTTTTCAATCCTACTGGAAGCGCAGGCTCCTCCACCTCGGCCGCAGCCGCCTGCTCGGCCCTGAGGATTATGAGTGTCTGCGAGTGGCCTCGAGAGAGCATACTCTATGAAGCTTGCGCGCTGAAGGGCAAGGCTGAAGGATTCCGGGGACGAGGAAGGAACGACTCGAGATTGCGGCGGTGAGTAAATTTGTCTCTTGGGACTGAGCCTTCACCCTAATCCATCTTTTCTCACACTCGTGTGCTAGACTGCCAGACTGTGCTAGACCATAGGTCGCTACGCTCAGGACACTCCACCACCTTCCAAGCGGAAGGCCAGATCTGCAAGGAGGTCAATGCTTGAAAAATGCTGGAAGCAGGAAGCAGCGGCTCAAAGTCAGGCGCACTGATATAGCAAGACATGCGACCAAAGACAGTCACCCACAGTCAGCATGGATGCCTGCAAACCGTGAGCAAATGAAATGAGAGACTTCCTGGCCGTTCTTTTCCTTCTCCACTTTTGCTTCCCAGTCTTACGATTCTTGTTCCAACGTGGAAGTTCCAAGCCATCCAGCCACGCAAAGCCCCAACATGCCCCAACATGCTTCCTGAGATCTTCCTTGACTGACACGCCTGTTAGGTGCAGGCCTCCGAAGCGCGTGGGTCCTGGCTTGATAGGGTAATTGCTTTTGAGCCACTGCATAGCCCCATTCACAGCAGGTTGAGAGGCAAGAGTAATGTCGCGGGGATTCGCAGGGGTGGAGTTCTAGGGTATGTTGGGTGCGTGGGTGGGATCTGCGTAGAACGCGAGTCTGCATTCCAGATTAAAAGCATCTGAAACCAGACCCAATTTACTCCTGCTAGGAGGCCCTATTCCAGCAAAGAGCTTCTGAAAGAAAACAGAGCTGTCCTGGAACAAGGACCTCCCAGCAGCGCGGCGCAGGCCTCAGCGATTGTGCACCGAAGACACATGAACCGAACATGGGCTAGGGGGCTAGGGGTTGTATCTCGATTCACTAACTAATCTGATAGAAACCTCGGCACCAATTCTCACAACTACAATGGCTGGAGGTGCCCACGGCCTGGGTTGGGTGGTGGACGCCGCTCCAGGTCTGAAGTGCGCCAGCGATAGGTTGCGTTGTGAATCTTGTCGTCCCGTGCATACGCTTCATGTGTATACAGAGATGAAAAAGAATCTATGGCTGGCTCGCTGGCCCGGTGGCCGGGTGGCCGGGCGGGTGGGTGGACTGATCGACCGGTACAGTAGACGATCGATCCGTAGGCTACATATAATAAGTGAGCACATGTGTTTTCCTTCTTCTAACTGTAGGAAGGCGTTGTCGGTTCATGGTACTTACACACATACAGTTGCAAGCTCTACAGTCTTCACCTACTTAACCAACTTAACCCCCACATGATGCCCCACGTTTGACTCATTGGCAGGCAAAGCCCGGCGGCGATGATGTCCAAAAATGGTCCGCCAGGCCAGGCAAATCCAGTCTCAGGGCCATAAGGCAGAGAGCAGTGTTCGGCATGAGGTTTTGGAACTCGACCTCTGGGTTTGCCTGATGCAACGAGCCATGAGCCTCTTGCCAGTTGCGGACGAGACGTGGGCTGTGCAGCACCGACACGCTTGCTTGGAGCCGCGGAACTCGGATGTTGCAAGACTCGAGGCTGCTGATTGCTTGTCCAGGGGCTCTTAGATATTTCGTGTCAGAGTGTGTTTCAAATTCCCATTCAGAGTCAGAAATATCTTGCGTGCCGGTTGCTCTGTGTTCTGGGTCACGCATTCCTCTAAAAGCTGCCAGGAATGAGCATGAAACACCTACATCCAACATACCGTGCATGCCGATCGAAGCCGCAGGTGACGCAACATCAGAGTCATGTCAACGCAAGGTACTTGGAGACTCTAGAGACTCTAGAAGCACCATCATCTCGGGGCTGTTGTTCTGTGGACGTGCCGGCTGTCCAAGCTTCGACGTCGCAAACGCCGGGCAGGTGACCTGTTCGAGTCCGGTTGAGTACAGCTGAGCTGACTCTGATTGTTGGTGCAGCAGGAGAATGTGAGGGCCTTGTACGCTCTGCAGGCGGAAAGTGACAAGGGGCCTTGTAACAGTGTTCCAGATTACTGGAAGAAAGAGGAGCCCAAAGGGGAGAGAGTTCATGGAACGGCAGGAAGTTAACCTTCAGTCAATGAACCTCACTGGCGAAAAAATTCGGGTCCAACTGACCAGCAAACGTTGCTCGATGTAGGCTGACTCTGCGCGGGGTTTGCTGCATGTAGACTCGCTCTACTGACCTCGACTCGCTCTACTGACCTCTGACACAGATTTTTGTTGAGTGACGCGACGATCTCGAGGGCTGAGATCGAGGTGCCTGTCGACATTCCTGATGCGAACACTTTAGTGCGATGAGGAGGAATGAAAATGACGAGGTGACAGTGGCACCGGTGCAGTGGATCAGTTCAGAGGTGCAAGTCTTTTCCACGAGAACGAACGAACCCCAAGCATGTGGATGTATTGCATCAGACGAATGGAGGAATTGATTGGAGCGCGCAGAGCTCCAAGCTCTCCTCTACTAGCTCCATGTGCAACAAAGTGCTAGTGGCAGTGGTTTGGGCCGGCTCAGATCGCGATTTGCAACCGAACCGTCGCAACCTCGCCTACCTTTTCCCGTGGCGGAAGGTCGACGGTCGAGAGATGTCGAGAGCTCGTTCCGAATCCAAGCGACGAGTGTTCGGCAGCAGTGTGGGGCCGTTCGAGCTCCGGGCGACAGTCACTTGTCGAGTGCGAGGCATTCAGACAGCTTTTTTTTCTGGCACTTACTTTAGAAAGCAGTTTCAGTAGCGTGCAGAGGCGCCATGCATTGACATCAGCTGCGCATGTCTGATGCACGACCGATGGGCATTGGCAGACTGCCTTGGGCGTCGCAGAGCTCTGTGGAGTGCTGCAATCATAGATCTACTTGGGAGTGGACAGGGAGCAGGGGGGGCGGGAGGCAGAGGGCCAAGCGCAGGCCGGGGGTGGGGGCTGGGGGTGTGGGGCGGGTTGGGGTGGGGCTGGGGCTGGGTCCAGATTCCAGTTGCAGCTTGCCAGAGGAGGTGTTTAGCGCAATGATGAAGTATGCGGCTGCCAGGGCCTGCCTACGATGCACATCTTGGGCGTATCTGGCAGATGCTGCTCAGACTCTGTCCCGGCAACCCGAACCGCAGAGATGTGATTTGGCTTGCTGGTCTCATGGGAAAGAGATTTTCGATCTTGTGCCATGCTCCGTTTCGCAGACCCAGCTCGCAGAACTTACACACACACACACATGTTCTATCAAATGCCCAGCCAGGAAAGTTCAGTCGCACCGCGCCTCCCTGCGGGAGCTATGTATGGCACTCGGCAAGCCCTGCCGACAGCAAACGAAGAAGATTTCAGCTGTGGGTTCAGTACTATAATTGCGCACCATCATCGCGTTCGCGTGCGCAAGGCGCGCTTGCGAAAGGATACCAAAACCCTGGTTGTGTTGGGATAGACTAGACATGTGGCCATGTTGAAACAAGAAATTCGGCGGAATTACAGCAGTTTTGGCCTTTAGAGTTTTCAACATATTTGGGAGTGTGACAGTTGTGAAAAACCCTGTGTCTTGTGGGATAGAATAGACATGTGGCCATGTTGAAGCAAGAAAATGCTGGGAAGTACAGCAACTTCGGCCTTGCGGATTTTCAACATATTTGTGACAGTTGTTTTAAGTGCGCATGTTTAAGCACGCGCCTGCAGAGCTATCATTCGAAGAGCCATGCCTTGACTTTGGCAGGCACACCGAAATCTTGCGGAGCACAGCCCAAGTGGCCGGCTCGATCTCGGCGGTATGCAGCCGTAAATGGAGTCTGATCTGGACGTTATGATGGTTGGCACATGGATGCTCTGCGGGAATGGATGGAGTCTGATCTGGACGTTATCATGGTTGGCACATGGATGTTCTGCGGGAATGGATGGAGTCTGATCTGGACGTTATCATGGTTGGCACATGGATGCTCTGCGGGAATGGATGGAGTCTGATCTGGACGTTATCATGGTTGGCACATGGATGCTCTGCGGGAATGGATGGAGTCTGATCTGGACGTTATCATGGTTTGCACATGGACGCTCTGCGGGAATGGATTGGATGGAGTCTGATCTGGACGTTATCTTGGTTGGCACATGGATGCTCTGCGGGAATGGATGGAGTCTGATCTGGACGTTATCATGGTTTGCACATGGATGCTCTGCGGGAATGGAAGGAGTCTGATCTGGACGTTATCATGGTTTGCACATGGATGCTCTGCGGGAATGGATGGAGTCTGATCTGGACGTTATCATGGTTGGCACATGGATGCTCTGCGGGAATGGCTGGGGTCTGATCTGGACGTTATCATGGTTGGCACATGGATGCTCTGCGGGAATGGATGGAGTCTGATCTGGACGTTATCATGGTCGGCACATGGATGCTCTGCGGGCATGGATGGAGTCTGATCTGGACGTTATCATGGTTGGCACATGGATGCTCTGCGGGAATGGCTGGAGTCTGATCTGGACGTTATCATGGTTGGCACATGGATGCTCTGCGGGAATGGATGGAGTCTGATCTGGACGTTATCATGGTCGGCACATGGATGCTCTGCGGGCATGGATGGAGTCTGATCTGGACGTTATCATGGTTGGCACATGGATGCTCTGCGGGAATGGCTGGAGTCTGATCTGGACGTTATCATGGTTGGCACATGGATGCTCTGCGGGAATGGATGGAATCTGATCTGGACGTTATCATGGTTGGCACATGGATGCTCTGCGGGAATGGATGGAATCTCATCTGGACGTTATCATGGTTGGCACATGGAGGCCCTGCGGGATTGGCTGGAGTCTGATCTGGACGTTATCATGGTTGGCAAATGGATGCTCTGTTCGTGGACAACTCGAAAACCGCGTGCCCCGATTTTCGGCATGTCAAATATGAGGAAGTGCGTCGCCGCGTATACCAGGATTTTTCGCTGTACCGGAAGCAGTTCGTGCGCGCGCACGAACGCGATGATGGTGGGTATAATTGTGGATCCTGATTGGTTGCCTTAGGATAGACCAGCCGTGTGTCGAGCGGAGATCGCATTGTGTTTTGCATCAACCAGTACCAGTAGCAGTGAAAGAGTACGGAAGCACAGCGAAGCCTCACGCATTGCCTCGTGGCCTCGCGCATCTTACAAGAAGTCCAGGGTCTTTCCCCAGCTAAGGCCCTTGACACTTGTTTGCTGTGGCAATTTTTATGGTGTCGACGGTTGACTTGACCCCGTGCCGCTGATAAAAATTCGAGTGTCTTTCAGGATAAGAACCAAGCTGGCCTCCAGGTTTTAGGACCTGACGCTAAGAAGCCGTAGAAGAGTGTTTGCCTGCCAAGATGCAAGCGTCCAGCGGTTACGTTCGACGTTGCAACCGGCCATGGCAGTACTTGGTGACACCTCCGTGGCCTTAAAAGGCTTCACTCGGGTTTCGGGCTCGTGTGAGTTGGCCATTGCAGGAAGGCGTGTACGACTTTGCAATGCGAGCAATGGCGCTGACTGTTATTTGCCTGTGGCCAGTCCGGCTGGCGAGTACTCTAACAGTGTCCTGGAGGGTAAGCCACCCTCAAAGATAAGTTTTCTACAACTCATAAACATCCATGTGCACGGCTTCGGGGGGTTGCCTAACCTTACCTAAAATGGTTGTGTTCGCACAGCCTGCATGGAGGTGCTGCGGAAGCAGTGGAGAAGTGGTCCTCGACAAGGACTTTGCAGAGCATGCTGTGCGGCCAAGGGGTTGTCGGGTGTTGTCGGTGTCTTGGCTCAGACATCTCTCCTTCTCCCAATTGCTAGACTAAGACCCGTTGCAGCCAAAAAGTGCAGAGTGCCATCTCATGATTCGTTGGCATCGGGCCGCCGCCGGAATTCTCAAGCATGCATCATCCGATTTTTCACGGCGTCACCCCAGCCCGCAAATCGCCGGAGAGAGCATTCTTTTGGACATTGCTCGAGATGGGAAGAGGGAGGGCGTTAGGGCGCCATTTTACTCTTTTCGGCTCTGGCTCTTCCAGTCTTCCAGTTTCCTTCCGAACCCTGAGCCCTGAGCCAGGTTGCTGAGCCCCAAAGCCTCCCCTGGGATCCAGCTCAAGGCTCAAGAAGGCTCTTCAAGGCTCCCGTCTCCGGAGGACGATGGAGGGTGACTTGCTGCAGGAAGCTGCAGCACAGCTCGCGGGCAACTTGCCGAAGTTTCAGGCTCTGGTGTTGGAGTCTATGGCTCAGCAAGGCAGGCTTTTGAAGGACATCTTCATTAAAGAAGAAAGGACAGCTGCGTAGGGCTTCGCTGAACGAAACGGAAAAGAAGCTCCACACCTGGTTGGCGTTGTCGCATCATTCTCACCCTCACCCTCTCTCTCTCTCTCTCTCTCTCGGTCTCTCTTTCGCGCTCTTCGTCTGCAGTTTTATTCTGTCAGTGTTGCAATGTGCAGCGTGCAAGGGTTGCTGGTGAGGCTCCTCCAGTGCATGGGGCATTCGGTTTGAGGTCCTGGCAGGCGTGATTCCCCTCTCCCCCAAGAATCCAAGTCATCACTCCCAGGAATTCGCGACGCGCAAGTGAGGCTGAAGAAGGCCTTGCAAGCGGAGTGCCCCAAAGGCCAGCCGCCCAGGAGCTTTTAGGCAGCTCCTTGATTCTACAAAGCACCGTCGCGATTCTAAACGACTGTGATCTGCCACAGAAGCTGAAGAATCGTCACACAGCAGGTGGGAAGGATTCTGCGAGCGTCGGCGCTGCGCCGAAGCCGATCCGGACGAACTGCGGCGGACGGACGCTCGGCACTCAGAGGCTCAGGCGTCCGACCAATCGAGTTTGGTGGAAAAAGGAGATCACCGACTGCCTCTGAGCTCCTCATTCCGTCCCCTAAAGTTCTGAAGCTGCACTTCACTTCCCTCAGGGCCGTGGACTTCTCCCTCTTCACCCGCGCCCGCTGGGAGGCAGAGCGCCGTGCCTCGGCAAGCTTCACAAAATTCTCGGCCAGGGTTACATAAACGACTTCATGATAAGAAACAGAAGGAGTTGCAATGCTGGTTCTACTTTCTAGGGTGTATGGGTTTCTCCTTCATCCCGCGTTGAACTGGAGCTTCCTATCTTGACCCGGACTATACTTGAGGGTGATCTGCGCTGGCAGTAGGCTCCGTCGTCACGCTATTGGAACATTCAGCGATCCGCGTCGCCAATAAGGATGCTGTGGGAAGAGAAAGCACGAAGATGGTGTTTGCCAGTTCAAGTTGGGGTGCTTATGCATGTATTTTTCAGCTCGGAACATGTCCATCTGTCTTGACGGCATACCTGCAATGGGCGAAGCTCCAGGAGGCCAATGCAAACTACCGGCTCATCCCAAATTGCACATCCAACTCTCACTGCAAAGACTCGACAGTGGTTACTTTGTGGTACTGATGTCACCTGGAAGGAAAGGGCGCATCTATGCTTGCCGGTGGCGAGGGCGATAGCGTCAAAGTCTTCACGCAGGCGCGTCGGGGAAGCGGCTCGATGGACCGGAAGCTTTCAGTTAGCTCAGTGCCCGTTGCATTTCTGGGCACTTTCTGGTTGTCCTCCCAGGCGATTGATCTTCTTGGATTCGCCTTTGCCAGCTTTGAGATTAGAAGAGTCAACCGACGTCCACTATGTTCCTCGTGGACTCAGCAATAAATTCTAAACCACAATCCTCAAAAGCATCCAAACCGCAAGCGCACCTTCCAATCATCAGGATCTTGAAGCCTCGAGTTTCAAAGCTCCGATCAGTCTAGCCTCAATGCTGCTTGACATGGTGTTCTTGGCCCATGATGAGCACGGCTGCAGGTCATTGAAGAATTGCATAATGGATGACGCAGGGCCTCCCCGCAAACCCCGATGTATTTTTTCCCGGTCTCCCCTGTGTTGGTTGGGTTCATGGCTTCTCGGCTTCTGTGTCTCCCCTTCCCCTGTGGGGTGGTGCCATGTGGCGCCTGTGGTGTTCGCGATTGGTCTACGGCAGTAATTATGCTTGCAGCTATTTGTCAGCAGGGTTGTTATCCCTTTTGCGATTTTTACTACCGTAGAGGTACTGTAGCGGTTTTCGCTTTTCCGTTGCCGATGGTGCCTAACAACCTGCGGTTTGGGTGGTGGGTTCTGTTCCGGTGCGAACCGTGTCTGCAGCCTGCCACCACAAAAAAACACAATCATGCGAGCTAATGTCGCAGTGTTTGAGATGTGAAATTGCACTGCGCGTCGAAAGCTTGCGAGCGTCAGGGAAGATGTGACACTGAAAGGTCTAATCCTAACGACTTTCTGTAGTTTTACATGGCGGTGACGACGCCATCCTCCGAAGACGAGGATCCTGGCCCCCACCGGCTCGATCCCTGTGACCCCAAGAGGCTGATGAATCCTAACATGAGCGTGTAGGCAAACCGAGTACCATCCAACCTGTAGGACTTTCCAGACGGCCAAATGGTCGCAGTATAGTTGTTTTTGCTCGGCTGTTTGCAGCGTCGGAAGAATAAGTCAAAATTCGTCCGGATGACTTTGGACGAGTCACGTGGCTTTCGTTTTTGGGTTGTTAATAGGACGCAGCGACACGTGGTGGCGCGGCGTATTTTGTTGGTATGTGATGGGCCGGCAATATCACCAGTCCCCAAAGTGGAAAAGGTGCTGCTAACCTTTTCCGTCTGGATGAGGATGTTAGACCTACTGTCAGGTTTTCAGGCCATAAGTGATTGAAAGAAAACCGGAAAATGCTTGCTGCCGTGAGGAGATGCCCAAAGCCTTCCCGGAAGAGAAGGCACTTGGCTTGTCAGAGCCCATCTTTACCCCTAGCTTCGGTTGTCGGCTCTGCCAGGCTTGCACGCAGGTGAGGGGCCGGCACATCTTGGTCAACAATGTGGAGAAGGCTCCGGCTGACAATGTTATTCACAACTATCTTCGGTTGCAAGCCCCTGTCCGCTTCTACCATGAAAAGGCCAAAAGAGTCTATCTCGAGATGGCTGCGCCTTGGAAAGCATGTTATTGCTTTGACAGATGGTGCCGAAGTGCGCAGTTTTCCTTTTGACTGACTGATGCCTGCAAATTAAGCTTGAGCAAGTGACTCGGTAGTAGCTTGACCGCTCCTGCGCTGCTATCTAAGGTCACCGGCACAGCAGACCGTAACGGATTCCTCCGGCATGCTTCCGGAGTTTGGAACTCGGATTGCAGGGGACATGCTTGCGATGTGAGTCGCCAGCTTGCAGCATGTCCTCACCAGCTTGTGAGACATCCCAAGCCCCAACACCACCCAAATTCCAAGCGTTCTAAGCTTGAAGCTCGAATGCCACGCTGTGTCTACGACTCTCCTCGCCGAGGCGAAGTTCGCCTCCTTGGCCTCCGAGCGCTCGGAGTGCCACAGCGCCAAGCACGGGTGCCAAGTTAAGACTTCGCAGTGGGGCTCGATAATATGAGTGAGGCAGTGATGGTTGTATGTGGTTTTCGTGATCATGCTGACGATTATCAATGTCCTGGCCTCAAGATGTTAGGTTGCTTTCCACGTCGTCGTCGTCGTCGTCGTTGTAGTAGCGTGAAGTCCCGCTGGCTGTCACTGCTGCTCACTCCTGCTGCGACGTGTTTAAACTCGATCGTGATTTGTTTCGTCGCCCACAGTTTGCTTAGTCAACGGTCAAACCGAGCTGCCGAGGACGGGGGGTGATCTGGGCTGGATTGTCAAGGAGACGAGCTAGGGTTGAGCAATTCGCGTCTCGGGGCAAATTGAAGAGCCTTCAGTAAGCTGTCCTCCATCCGTGCAGTGCAATACAGCCTGTACGAAGCACGCATTTTAGTGGAGCATGGGCCGAAGGACCCTGCGCCTTCAAAGCTGCAGGAGGCTCCAACGCCCAAGGGCCGGAACGCTTTGGATTGCGCCTGCTGTAATTCTACTGTAACGAGTGCAACGACCCCAGCTCCTGCAAATCATATGGGGCTGCACCGTCAGGAATGTATCAGTTTTCCAGCTTTCTTACACGGGCGATCACGAGTGTGGAATCCATTGGAACTGATGGGTCAGTTTAGTGCGAGTCTTGCATATTCGGTCATGCAGTGCTTTTGAAGCAGATATTCATTCAACCGTGGCTTTTGCATGCATGACAGTTGTGCCGACTTCTCCAGAATTGCCAGAAGGTATCCCATGTGGTGTCATGCTTAATACAGCGCGCTGTTTGGACGACTTAGTCCCATGGGCCTATTCTTCCGCCAATTGTGTGACGGAAGCACAGCCCACACCGTGACATCGCCAAACCAGTTATACCTTGATGGCAAAGGACCAGACCCAGGGCAGAGGCAGTGTCAGGGAGTGGAATGGTCGGATGCCATCCGAACAGACACGCCGACACGCCCATCAACGAAATCATTACATGCGCGCATCGGCCAGGTGGCTTTTGCAACTCCGCGAAGCTCCTGCAGTCCACCCTTCAAAAGTGGCAATGGTAGCTTGGCATCTCGTGACTGAGACTGTTTTAAATGCCCTCCGGCTGTTTTTGGGATGAGGGCTTTCAGCGGTAGGGCTAGTGGTGGAGCTTTGGTTCTTTGATTCGTTTGTTACTGCGGTGGCACGTGAAATCGCTCATGAACTCATGTTGTTGAATGGGACATAATGGGACGGTCTTATATACACAGACAATGCAACAGGATATCCTACAATGCCCTGCAGGCGGGGTTAAAGGCGTCAAACGTCAACTTCTGTGTGGCTTGCCAGTGCTCCTGGCTGCGTTGGCAAACAAAGGGAGTGAGACAGAATACAAAACTCAAAACCGTGCAAGGGGTTTGAGTCCAAGTACGAAATGAGGATGTGCTTGTGCGACTTACTCGCCGATCGGATTCTGCACTCCTCGTCTGAGTATTTCTGGTTTAAGCCACCTGTTGATATTAATGGGCGACGAACATGCGCCCGGGATCTACGCCTAGACAAAGAGTCTTTTTGCAACACTTGCATGCAGCCGTGGGAGTGCTGCGAAGCTACCATGGCACCAAGGCTTCCACATCTTCTTCTGTGAGGATGGGGTGCAGGGTTTGATGACACCTCGATGCTGGATTCAATGCAGAATAAACGCAGTTCAGAATGCTCTTGTTAGCAATCTTGCTACGTTCCTTCATTGTTGCTGAGATTGACGTTACGAGCATCAATATAGCCAGACTATAGCTGCATTAGCACTATGGGTGTTTGCGACTATTCTGATATAGGTCCTCATGGCAAACCACGAGTCCTGAGATCCTCTGCTGCCTCCTCCTTGTCCTCCTGCAACTCCTACCCGATTCTACTCCTCCAGCCAGTTCCATGATAAGACTGAATGCAGCAACAACCAGTACCGTGTTTCAACAAAGGTATCACCTTTGCTACTGCTGATGTTTCCAGTCGTTTGAAACTCATGCCGCCCCATAGGTGTCAACTGCCACTACAGGTACTTTGCAGAGTACAAGTCAACACTACAGTAGGCGTTAAGCCTCTTACGGAAGGTTTGGACCATGAAGCCTGCTACTTGAAACTGGGATGTCATGCTGATTTTGTGTTTTTTCGCAGAGCTGCCGAGCATCTCAAGCAGGCTGGTCTCGTGGCCTATGTTTCGGGAGGCTATCCCGGCTACTCTCTTTGATTGAACCTGGTCTTACCGGTCCTTGGTCCTTGGTTAATGCATGGTAATGCAAAAACACTGGCAACGTAGAGCAGCTAGCATCCCCCGGACAAACCCTTCTGTCGAATGCTTATTCGAGGCCTGAACCTTTGATAATGTCATGTCTGTGTCTATGTGCTTATGTTAAACTCTGAGATGCGACGTATCTTTGGTTCCAGGAGCGCAGATGACCCCAACGAGAGACGCTGCAGATGTTGTGTGGGAAGATGCCTACACAGTCAGCGCTGCCAGTCAGCGAAAGAGAAATGCGTGAGTAGCTCTTGAACGTTAAATTCTCAAGATGACCGGTTGAGCCGGAGATTGACACGAGCTGCGAGTTCTTCGGAGTTCTTCCACACATTTCCACACCGTGAGGGTCACGGCGGTCTACAGTCTACAGCGAACCGGTAACGAGTCTCAGTTCGAAGCGGAGCAAGAACCTTTAATTGAGCGCTAAGGTAGCCTGGGTCCTAGAGCTTAGTTGTAGCACCCGAAGCGACAGACCCAAACTCGGAGCCTGCTGCTAAAATGCTACTCGAAGCCCCATGCAAGCTGCTCGAGCGTGAACTTGATGATACCTTTTGCTGTATGTTGAAGGCCGTTTATGCTGATCATGTAGATTCTCGCACAAGTGCGCTGGACTTCATTTTGCTGGCTCTCAGGCCCATGCACGCCTGTGAGATCCAGTATTTGTACATCTTACTTCACCCAGACTTCACCTAGCATAACCCAACCACAAAGCCAATTTCTGTCGAGCACCTGTGCTACATTGCTGTTACATTCAACCCAACCCATCAGCCACCTATACAAGTAAACCATAAGAAAATAGGTGTGCCTGATGGCTCCGTCGGAGGGATCAGAGGGCGAGCGTACCATCGCGTTAAAACGAGGCCTGTGCAAGTTCTCCTACCGATGCTTGCAGTTTGATGATGGGCTCTTTACGTGTTGGATGGTGAAGCTCTCCCATCGCCAAGCGTGGACTGTGCGTGGATTTTTGTACACATGTGCTTTCCTGCTTTCCGGTCGGTCAGTTGTGGGAGCCTCCCAGCTTCATCAGTTGCCAGAAGGTATTTGACATGCACAGGTCAGTCGCAAGTTGGCAAAGCCGACTTCCCGGAAAATGGTGCAGCCGCCTGAGCATTTGCGCTGGGATTGTTCAGCTTCGCATTATACTTGTTGCTGAATTTGTGGATTCCGCCCGAATGCTCAAATCACCAGGTCAAGACGCAAAAGTACACCCCGTGGAACTTCCTGCCCAAGAATATTTGGGAGCAGCTCCAGAAGTTCGGCACCTTGGCCTGAAGGGCAGCAACAATGCCATTCTATGCAGTTCAAGAAATCAGGATGGAGACATAATATGGAGACACAGGATTCGTGGCCGATGTGTGCGCGGCTGCTGAGACTCTAAGGCAATTGCTACTTTCTAGTCATATCCGTGATCATGTACCTCGGGGAGAAGACGCCTCTTTTTGTTGGGACGATCAGAGCATTCTCAACGCTTGGCCTGCTAGTCGGGGCCTTGGCAAGACTTTTGTACTCGACTGCAATTGGTGTGATTGCTGCGAATGGTTTATGGAGTCCGAGTGTCAGGCATTTTTGGATTTTGCCTTGTCTTCACGTGTCAAGCAGATTTGGTAAGCAGTTTTTTGCGAGGTCATGATGATGGCCGTCACTGCAGCCATGGCTTTGTATGACGACCTGCAGCGGCAACGCGCTGATTATGAGATCAACACCTCCGAAGCCAAGAAAGTCAGAAAGGGGGAAAGGGAGGCGGACCTGCACAATCTCAGAGTGAGTCACGAAGATCGCCCCCGATCCTTCTGAAATCCTGCAGACAATGGTGCGCTTGTCTCTTCGCAAGTTAGCCCCCTTCCCCAGCCAGCCAGTCTGACTTGCCAAGCTCGAGTGTGAACAGGCTCCAAGCATAAAGTCCTCAGGCCGTGCCCGTCCAGTTCCAAAAGATAAAGGTTGGAGATGTCCTCGTCGTGTCGAAGGACACCGGACACTTCGGCCGTCTTTTGTGGTGCTTCAAAGCGAAATGTTGTAGGCCTCCTCGAGTTTTGGCAAACCCTCCGAGCAAGAATTTCTTGTACAAACCGGTGGTGCAAGCTTTGCTTTCTGCTGTTTTGGTCGGTGCAGGACCTAGATTCTAGATGTTTTGATTTCGTTGCATCATTGCATCTGCGAGCAGGACGAGGAGTTTGCCGCGGACTGCGTGCCAATCTACTGCTCGGGCGAGGATGGCAACTGCTGCTTGGGCACAGACGATGGATGACATCAAGTAGTTGTGATCCTAAACAGTACCGTGAGGCTCACTTGCCTTTCTATGACCTTTCTTTGTGTGCAGTCGTACGTCCACTTACAACCAAACCTAAGGAGATCTACCTCGAAACGGCCCACAGTGTGGCGTGACCTAAGCCCCCCAAATGAAAGGTGCAGAATCAACGTTGCAACAGTGTCTACAACAAAGGCCTCGGCAGAAGCACGCAGGACCTGTTGGCTCAGACCAAAGTCTCAATGAATCCTAGCACCCTCAAGCGGATTTGCAAGGCTATGTCTCCACTGCCAACTTGGATGGAGAGACGAACTTAAAGCTGAAGCTCGACCGCAATGGGCTGTCGTTCCTTGTTTGCCGCGGCTTCGGTCCGCAAATCAGGATCTTGGAAAGAGGTGGGCTTGAAAGAACAAAGTACAAGTAGAATGCATCCGCGCCTCGGGTGGTTGGGAGAATCTGCGCACATCGCAGGACTCCCTCCCATTTTTGATGCCGTGAAGCACGAACGCGCACAGCATGCACCTAGACAGGCATACATCCACACGTGCCACACGTCCCTAGATACCCGCATACCTACATAGAGACAGATGGACATACACACACACACATATACATGGATGCGGTCCTAAACACATACATAATTACTTGGTATACTACACACACTAACATATACCTGCTCCATATAACTATGTGGGCATATGTACACGTCTTTGTGTATGTGTATGCACATGTCGCATGTCTATATACATATACTGTACTTACATATTAATAAGTACAGTTATATTCATATATGTATATACTTATTTACACTTGTACTTGTAGCAGTACTTATGCCCATACTCATGTTCATACTTATACTTATACTTGTACTTAATTATAAATGTGTTTCTCTCTCTATATCTATATATATATATATATGTATATACATAGTAGACGTAGGTATACACTTGCATGCACGTGGAATTCACGCGTCTATGGGAGTGTGAGCAGGCTCTTTGGGGTTTCATTTCCGCTTGCTCTGTCATATCTGCTCGGAAAGAATGAGATACAGTAGCAACTCCATAAGGAGTGCAAACTACCACTGGATCATATGAAAGTAAACTGTAGCGGCAGGGAGCTGAAAGCAATGGAACCGATTTCATGGATCAATCTCGTTTTGCTGGTTGTACACCTTCTATCACAAGATCCGTTGTAGTCGAAAGAGCTAGCACAGCTGGGAACGCTTTACATTTGTTCGCGCGGTTGCATGTATTGCATAGTTCTCTCGACATCTCCCGACTACATGGTCTGATGACGATAGCCGGACGACAGGTCATACTGTGATAGCAGGTCTTGGCTATGTGGGCAAGATTGCCAAAAGACCGCTTACAATACTTTCGCGGATTGTCTTCGGGGGTTTATGTAACTCTTGGGTGAAGGAGCGGGAATCATGTTTTTGAAGCTTGTTTGACATCGAATGTGCTTTCGGGTGTGAACGTTGAGTCGCTGAGTCGCTCTGATGCACTGTTAGGGAAAAGTCGTGAATCTTGCGTACAGCTCTGTCTCTCACTCATGACCGGTGCCTGCGCAGGAAGACAGCCAAGCCTGAGACACAAGCTGCACTCCAGGGCGCAAACCCGATCGGAGCCTTTGGTGTTACGTATTCCACTGGAAAGGCTTTCCTGAATTTCAGTTGCTCTTCCTGCGGTTGGGTGCAGTCCGTTCTGTTGCGAAAGCTCGAGGTTATGTCGGGGTTACATAGCTTCTGGCATTGTAGCCATCGGCATCTTTGGGTTTGCAGAGGTTCGTTGTTGATGTCTCGCTCATTCGGTAACATGACTCGCGTAAGAGATTCGGCTCCATTTGAAGTTGAACTGCCGGAAAGCATTGATTTTCTCGGTCATACGGTGCCTTTGAGACGTTCGAGGGTCTGCTAATTTCGAGAATCGGCTTTATCGTAGTTAATCATGCCGCTCTTGAACCTCGCTGTGGACGTCTTGCCTGAGTTCACTTGAGGGTCTTCGGAAGAATTGGACTTGTTGCTTTAGCTTGCCTTGTCAGAGTCGGCCGCTTGCTCAGTGTCTGTGCGTGGATTCATGAGGCATAGCAATTTTCGTTGTAGCACTCCATACGTTGATGTGGTTGGGTCACGACATCATAAGATATTTATTCCAGTTCATGCCCGTAGCATATTCTGCAACACAACTACATGTCCGTTTGTACCTATATGTATGCATATATATATATATATATATATATTTATATTTAGGGGCTGCGCCCAGGTGCGGGCAGCGCGAGCTGTTGTCAGAAACCCGCGGTATATAGATAAGTGCAACGTAGGCCCGAAGTGCGCAACTTGTGGGTGATCGTAGGCTCTCAGCCCCCGTCGGCCCTGCATGTAGCCCGCACCCCCCGTCCGCCGGACCCCGCTGATGCTCATGATGCGCGCCCTTTGGCGGCTTCCGCAACCCACTCAAAAACTTGGGAGTTATGACTTCGCGCCCACGTCGCGCCGCCGGCGCCGGTTGCGGGCGCCCGAGGGCTCATGATGCTCGCCGGCTCGCCTCCTGGGGTCGTCCACGGCGGCCCCGAAACCCGCCACACCGCGGGGAATGGCTGCAAAATGCGTGCGCGTTCCGAGACGCCTTGGGGCCAGGCCCCGCGCGGCCCGAGGGAGAAACGAGGGTCCGATGATGCGGGGTCCGGGGCGGGTCGGCGGCACTGTCGGTCGTGGCTTCTGCTTCGCAGACGAAGCTCATTCGTCTGAGCCATAGCTCAGTCCATACAGGGCAGCGAAGCGCTGCCCGATTTATGGGCTGCCGCCACTGCCGCCGACCCCAAAAGAAGAGAGGTGACCATCCAAGGAAGGCAGCAGGTGTTGAAAGCAGCCAACCCTGATACGGAGGAAGTGACATGAAATAATAAGATAGGGCCTGCAAGTCTTGTCACTGGCACGAGTAGCATGAGCACATGACTGATGCGGCGAAGTATTCGGACTGACGCAGTGCTCAGCTCTCGGACATTGTGTGCGCATGTTTCAGCAACCTTGTGACTCAGAGGCAAAAGGCATCCGCAGAAAACCAAGTTTCGCAGGAAGGCTGTGTTCGTCATGATTAATGTCAGCCTCCTATTAATAACCCCCCCTCCCCCCCTTGATTGATTTGGCGCCCGGGGTGGGGGGGATTGATTATTGAGGGGGGGGTCGGTCGTCGTAGTACAGTAGCAGAAACGGAACCAGAGCAGTTGTGGCCATGGGGTGGTATGACAAAAAATCGCGCGCGCGCGCGCGGCGGCGCATCGCAAGGCCGGGAGATGGTGGGGGTAGTGAAAACGGTGGGGGCGGTGGCTAGGGGTGGTGGAGGTGGTGAGGGCGGTGTGGGCGGTGGGGGCGGTGTCGGCGGTGGTCCGGGCACACATTGGCAGCCTTTAAATACTCTTTACTATTTAAACACCTACAAATACAGCGGGCGGTGAGAGCGGTGGAGACGGTGGGAAAGCGGTGGAGGCACAGTGCAGGCGTGGCAGTAATGGAGATGGTGGGGGTGGTGGCGGTGGATGAAGGTGGTGAGGGCGGTGTGGGCGGTGTGGGTGGTGGGGGGGTGGGGGCGGTGTGGGCGGTGGGGGCGCGGGGGGGTCCGGGCACACATTGGCAGCCTTTAAATACTCTTTACTCTTTAAACACCTACAAATACAGCGGGCGGTGAGAGCGGTGGAGACGGTGGGAACGGTGAAAGCGGTGGAGGCACAGTGCAGGCGTGAGATGGTGGGGGTGGCGGTGGATGAAGGTGGTGAGGGTGTGGGCGGTGGGGGCGGTGTGGGCGGTGGGGCGCGGGGGGGTCCGGGCACACATTGGCAGCCTTTAAATACTCTTTACTCTTTAAAACACCTACAAATACAGCGGGCGTTGAGAGCGGTGGAGACGGTGGGAACGGTGAAAGCGGTGGAGGCACAGTGCAGGCGTGGCAGTAATGGGGATGGTGAGGGCGGTGAGGGCGGTATGGGGGCGGTGGGGGCGGTGTGGGCGGTGGCAGCCTTTAAATATTCTTTACTCTTTTAAACACCTACAAATACAGCGGGCGGTGAGAGCGGTGGAGACGGTGGGAACGGTGAAAGCGGTGGAGGCACAGTGCAGGCGTGGCAGTAATGGAGATGGTGGGGGTGGTGGCGGTGGATGAAGGTGCGGTGTGGGCGGTGGGGGCGGTGTGGGCGGTGGGGGCGCGGGGGGGTCCGGGCACACATTGGCAGCCTTTAAATACTCTTTACTCTTTAAACACCTACAAATACAGCGGGCGGTGAGAGCGGTGGAGACGGTGGGAACGGTGAAAGCGGTGGAGGCACAGTGCAGGCGTGGCAGTAATGGAGATGGTGGGGGTGGTGGCGGTGGATGAAGGTGGTGAGGGCGGTGAGGGCAGTGGGGGCGGTGTGGGCTGTGGGGGCGCGGGGGGGTCCGGGCACACATTGGCGCAGCCTTTAAATACTCTTTACTCTTTAAACACCTACAAATACAGCGGGCGGTGAGAGCGGTGGAGACGGTGGGAACGGTGAAAGCGGTGGAGGCACAGTGCAGGCGTGAGATGGTGGGGGTGGTGGCGGTGGATGAAGGTGGTGAGGGCGGTGTGGGCGGTGGGGGCGGTGTGGGCGGTGGGGGCGCGGGGGGGTCCGGGCACACATTGGCAGCCTTTAAATACTCTTTACTCTTTAAAACACCTACCAATACAGCGGGCGTTGAGAGCGGTGGAGACGGTGGGAACGGTGAAAGCGGTGGAGGCACAGTGCAGGCGTGGCACTAATGGAGATGGTGGGGGTGGTGGCGGTGGATGAAGGTGGTGAGGGCGGTGAGGGCGGTGTGGGCGGTGGGGGCGGTGTGGGCGGTGGGGGCGCGGGGGGGTCCGGGCACAC